TGCCCGACTTCGCTCCACGCTCCAGAACCTTGGAACAGTTCAGTTCCTCACATGTGCCACGAGGGTAGAAATCAGGTCTGTATTCTTAGCACAGGTCTGGCCCACGGGAGACATTGCTACTTCAACCTGACATTAGAAACGCTCAACATAAGCCTATACACTTGTTTTTGGTTTTTGGCCAACTAGAAAAAAATTGAGTGTCCAGTACATCCCAAAAATCTGACTTACCAGGGGTTGGCGGCTGGGGCTGCTCACTCTTTGGGATATTAGTCAGTGGCCTGGAGACAGGACGAGGAACGCTGGCTGCCTGCAATGGCTTCTGCTTCAGATTCTGCACTGGTTTATGGCTGGAGACAAGCTTTTGTGCTTGTGAAGGAACTCGCTGGGAGGAGTTTGAAGGACACAAGACCCGCTGAGCCTGGCCACTGTTGGCAGATAACGGATGCTGAGAAGGGTATTGCTGAGTCACCAGAACACGTTTTGGACCATCACCAGGTAGAACTGTAGTCTAGGTTGGCAGGGAAAATAAAAGAAACTTCATGGTCTTCAGGAACAAAAGCCGAACATCCTGAGAATTTCAGTTTGTTTTCTAGTCTAACAAAATCAAGGCTGTCACTGATAACACTAGGAAGGGGAAGGATATTTAACCAGCAATTCCAAAGGATATGGTGAGTATGTGGCTGAAAGGAATGCCTGAATGGTACTTTCTAACCCCTCCCCAACACTCTCTAGAAACCATGCTCCCATAAACAAATGTTCATTAATTAAACTGCCTCTTAAGGAGAAAGACAAATTCCAGGGATTCTCAATGACTTGGGAATTATCATTTGGCAAAAAGCTGCAACACAGCAACTTTACACCAAAATCCTAATTACACTGAAATTTCTTTGACAATATCTGTTTGGAAAAAGGAATGAAAAAAAAAAAAACANTCAGAAAGTCTCCATGAGGGAGCTGAAGCAAAAAAGTCTGGGTTCACTCCGGCTCCTACCACACTCGAGAGTCTAGACAGTTCAGAGATTGAAATCAGGCTTTGAGAAAATATCTGGGGAAGATATTAAGCTAAGCTTTATCATAAAGAATACAGTAATTCTATTCATACTGTCAAAATACTCTTACAGTCACGTGTGCGGACAGTTCTGCAACATGACCCCACTTTTTAACCTTGCGATTCTATAGAAGAATACAAAAGAGTATAGAAACATAAACCATATGTAGTGGTTACTTCTGAGGGTACAGAGGAACTTTTACTTTACACATTTCTGTTACAGATTCATACAAGCTTTTTCTAAAGTTGAAAAGCAATAAGGAAAACTTGAGTCCCTAAGTAAAAACCCATCATTAAAAAATTCCATCTCTGTTTTTAATAAAGATTAGAAATTTGGAAACATTTACATTTTTAAGGACTTTTGATTTTTTAAAGCATTCTCAAAATTAAATTTGCAATTAAATGGTGTATTCTAATAGAATGGTACCACGGAACTTTGTAAATTATATAAAACTTACTTTTTTGAGTCTTCGTTTTTCTGTTTTGATGCCAGTTCCTTTTCGGAATTATTTCCTACATAGAATAAGTTAAAAAACCTGTTTTTAGAATAGCTGTAGTTATTTTAGAATAACTATACAGAATAAATTAAAAACCTGTGAATAGAAATGAACCAAAGAATGGTCACCAAAATATAATGCTATGTCCAGAATGTATACCTTGGTCATTTTTAGTTGTCTTTAAAAGAAAAAAACAAAAACAAAAACAAAAAAAACAACCACAACCTAACCTGACCGCCACCCTGTGAAGTCAAGTCTACAGATTTCTAGAGTGAAGATGAACAGATACGTACACAGTTTGGCCTTCTGGGATTTGAAGACTCAAGACTGTGTAGATTCTCCCCAAATGAAGAGCTTCTAAGGCAGGATTACCAGTCTTCCCCTCCATGACAAGCTCCCACCTCATCACCTTTTCCCCACTGGGTGGGCCAGCCAACTGTCCACACGCTACGTACAAATATGAACGCTGTGTGACAAAACCTAAGCCAGCCAACTTCCTTCCACTATATTCGTTGTCAAGGGAAAATATAGAAATAGAAGCCATCGATTTAGCAAAACGTACAATAAACCAATTGTACAACAGGATGATAAAGTCACTTTTATTAGCGGGGGTGGGGGGAATATATATATATGGCATTTCCTCTGATCTCTCCCAGGCACATCAAACTCCAACAGCAGCACAGCATGGTCTGCTCAGATCTTTGAAGGCGGGGCTGAACTGGTTTGTCCTTCTCTGGTTCAGTCTCAGTTAATGCCATCCCTACGTCCAGTAGTTCTAGCCAGTTTGCATCAAAGGGAGCTCTCAAATTCCCTTCCCCTCTGTACCCTGGCTGCCTTTGGGTGAGTGAATGCTTCTGAGACTCAGCTTCCTCCTCCGTGAAACTGAGCTAATAAATAACTCTGGGGCCGGCCGAGTGGCTCAGTTAGTTAAGAGCGTGAGTTCTGAGCAACAGGGTCACCGGTTCGATTCACATTTGGGCCAGCGAGCTGAGCTGCCACTGAGCTGCCAACGGGTGGCAGGATGGCTCAGCTGGTGAGAGCACGTGCTCCTAACAAGGTTTCCAGTTAACTCCTGCAAGGGATGGTGGGCTACGCCCACCCACAACTAAGATTGAACACGGCACCTTGAGCTGAGCTGCCCTGAGCTGACGGGCAGCCGGATGGCGACTGGACTTGGAGCTGAGCTAGCTGTGTCCTCCACAACTAAGACTGAAGGACAACAACTTGGCTGTTCCCCTTCCCCAATAAAATCTAAAAAAAATAAATAAA